TCGAATAACGCACTTAGGCGCATTTAAAGCAAAGTCGCTGAGTGGTCCGCCTTTCCGTCAAAGCAGACACTCGACATTGGATGAGCTAATACGAAATTGCAAGTGAAGACGGATAAGTAACAAAATCTTGACATTGACAACTAGATACTAAGCCGACCTTAAGGACAGTGTGCTACTAGATGTGCTGCACAAATCTCGCCTCATGTTTCAGTTGGTACGAAATCGAGATATCGTCGCTAATTCACTGGAGGAATCGATACAGTCTTTGCGCAGCCCATTCGATTCAGGAACAGACTAGAGATTCAGTTAAGTCTTTTGCAAACCCCAGCTTAATTTTCAAATGAGTATTCAAATCCATGACTGAAAAATTTGTTTAAGGTGTTCAAAAAATACGGTGCACCTCTGACTATTACAGTGCCTCTCGTGAACCAGATTGCAAAGCTGAATAGCCAGTTTCACCTAACAATAGGGCTTAGCATTCTGCAGGCCTTGGGCTTTTCTCACATGCAGTTCCACGAATCTGATGAGCAGCGAGGAAATGCCAGTTGCTTGACAATGCTCTTCCGCATCACTCACACACTGAAACACGAAACAGTGATGCCTTCCAGAAACGCCCTTCATTGTTATAGGAAAAGCCTTCCTTTCTGAAGAATATAAGATTCATTCAGAGGACACTGAATGTCGAAAAATGGACGGATTCCTCTTAGGTATAAAATCTCGTGAATAGTTGGGAATGGCACCTTTCCAATTATCTATCTTCAGCTCGACCGGCTATGCTATGCAACCTGTCGTGAAACTGACTTTTTGATTCTCCGACTATTGCCAATGATTATTATGAAATGATAAAATAAAGTCGAAGTATTGAAGGTTGCTGAAAAAAGCGAAATGGAATTCCGCATTTTAGCCTCATGAAGCTCCCTAAGGGTGTACAATCGACGAACAATCGCGGCGATTTTTTCTTTAAACGAGGATTCATCGGTAACCACACACACTGCAGTCCACATTGTTATTGTAACCGTCATTTTGGCTTTGTAATCCCTTGGGCTGCTTATTCGGACTGTCTAAAAAAACCCGAATCGTTTCACCTTTAGTTCCAACCGCTGCTAGTACTACGATAATTTAGCGCCGATAGTTCAACTTCGTTTACTGCCACAACATAGTTGCGATAAAGGAAACTACTCATAAGGCTGCTGAAAACTCTTCGACAACTCACCACAGGTTTCGCACTCACTGAGGCTCATCAGTCCCCGAGTTTCCGTCCATCTTATGCTCTACTTCAAGAATAGCAAAACCAATACATCCAATTGAGTCTCCTCCGAAAGCCAAATTGACAGGCAAATGTCGAGAATGCGAAACTTTGAGCAGTCTGTCCCGGCTCAGTACGTCGTACATAGAATACTGGGCAACATACAGCCATACCACGACACGCGATTGAAAGTGATCGACGGAAACGAAGGGATCAAAAAGCGACGATTCGTTTTTGTTCCGTTTTGGGAATCCGTGTTGCCACGACCGCCTGTTCGTGTAGGTGTGAAGTCTGTTAAGGCCGTGCCGTCCGGAGCTGCCTAGCTGAGCCTGGTGACGCTGTTTATCCAGTGGTACCAGGAAACGGAGCACTCTTCCGACGTCCCCCTTTAACTTCGTGATCATAAATGCTGTTTGAGTCCTCTTTAACTGCCTGACCTCGAGGTGTCCGCTCGCCGACACAGAGTACGTCAATAATTTTGTACTTACTAGATAAAACTCCCGAAATGCCAACCATTTTAAATGACTGCAAGATTGGGTGGGATCAAATACAAACCTCATGCTTGCAGGGGAACCGATCAATGTGGTATGTACATTCGTTTATTTGTGTGACCACATAAGTTACAGTAGACTACCGAAGGACGAAACCACTTCCCGGAAAAAGAGGTCAGGGAAGCGTCTAACAACACCCGTCATTCGTGGCACCGACAAGACTATATTAATTGCCAAAGGTAGTGTACAACGCTACAGTCCGACCTGACTTACTTCACAGGCGAGATATGGCCGCCTAGTGCGCATCTTCGGTGACTCTGGGCCTGAAAACCGGTGCCTCAGGAACATGGCACGGGTCTGGCGGGAACACCGAACGAGTAATGTTGAGTTCACTATCCTCAACATACCATCTTGTCACGCTCCACAATGTGCTCCGATCAGGCCATGTACTTCGTATACCAGAGGAGCGTTTTCTTCGTATATCTCACTTCGCCTATTATTGTGACAGAGACGACCAAGAGGCGGCCAGTCCCTGACCTGGCAACACAGCATGAAAGCACTCACCAGTCCACTCAGGCCAGTTGGTCTCTCCCGGAATCTCGGGACGAGACGAAAAAACAGTTAGTGACCGTGAGGGATATGACCGTGGCATGCAGACAGTTGATGTCCTGAATCAAAGTTGCCACCATCAATATCCAGCACCCATTGTCCGACGTACCAGAAAAACAGTCACTTGACAGAGATTAACTGAGTTAGCCAATATTCAAAACGCGTGATTCTGATTGCCTTAAACTGCTCATCCTCGGTGAACAAACCCGTGACAGCTGGGACCAATATAATTCGGCGCACGGCTTGTATCTGAAAATCTGACGGAAGCTTATGCCTCCACGGACTATAGTTGACCCTTGGAGAAATTCTCTCCATAGAAACTATCATTCTCAGGTACCTCGAAATCTATCCTCAAGCCTCGATACCCAGTCTATCTGGCCACCTTCAATATCCACACTATAAAGCGAGTAGGAAAACAAGCCACTGTTGCTCCCACACCAGACTCGTTTGGCATTGATGTGTGCTGTGTATGTAAGGGCTACTACCTTGTCACTTCAAGCAACTTCGCTTAATCTGTCTAGTACATCCGTGCTCACAAGTTCACGCTACTCCTTTGTTCCGTGAACATACGAATCATGTGACAGACGCTGTCGCGCTTGGAAGCTAGACCGACAAGTCGGCTCCTGTCTTGTACAGGTCGGAACGATTCTAGGTATTATACACAAGTCAATTTTTTTCATATATATGAGGACACTACACAGTCAACATACACATGCCCGCGCGCGCAGCGGACAGGAAGTCAACCAGACGCCCGGACAATTACGAACGTGTAGCAGCTATATTGGGGAAAAATATGCTTCCGCCGTCCGGACACTCACCCAGGAACTCTACCAAACGATAAGTTCCCCTTCTGATTTACTCCATTTTTCGCATTGCATTTATTTTATACATTGTGCAGCTCGCTACTGTAGACTACTGTCAACCATAGTAAAAACTGTGCATGTATCTTCTGAGTTATATTAGGATTACCAGAAACTGTGCACTAAAATGTATCAGAAACAAGAACTCAAGGTATAGGCACAGTGGCTGAGCTGACCGCCCCACCACTTTCCACTCGCTTTTGGCTAGGCGCCTCTGGCGACCCAGAATCTGCTGCGGCAGGATGTGCGGGGATTTGTATCGTCCCACGTTACCGTAAGCAAGTATCCATGCTTGACTGAACACTCGTTGATAGTCGCCTCTGCACGGTTCGTCTGGTGTCCGCGAAGGAGTCTCACAAGCGGGAAGTTGATGGATGTCTGTTTATCTTGTCCGCTTACACCCCAACTGGCTGTAGCTTCGACGCCGCTCCGACACCCTGATTGCCTCGTTGTGGCGGACCAAAAGCTCAGATGTCGTTGTGGTTGCCGGAGGTCTGAATGAACAAGTGGACAGGCTTAGCACACCTGAGACTCAGTTGGGTAATCGACAAGGATTGGATTGGGTACGCCGTCCCGAAGAGACTCGACCTTACCGTGGTGTGGCGGTTTGTGTACCTCGGCAGGCCATTGAGCTATACTGAGGGGTGTCCGCGCAACACTCACAGTCTCTTATACCAGGTTGGTCCATGGGTAAGAGGTCTGACGAACAGTCTTCTGGCCCTCGATGTTGGGAGTTGGAACATGTGTGGCGACGAGTTCCGCAAAAATCGTAACGTACTCGCACTTCCAGCCCAACATCGCTACCTTGCGGTTAGGTTTTGAGCCAAAGGCTTTGGTTGATGACCCTAATCGTCCTCCTGTTTAGGTGTGGGCGCCCTGGTAGTATCCTAGCCCTCATACAACCATGGCATTCAGAAATAACAACACTTTCATGCCAAATCGATCTTCGCGTGGTGCCAACGGCTGGGTCGCCTTGCTTGCTGCATACAGCACGGCGAAAATATGCTACTGCTGACGCCTCCCTTCTTACACTTTCACGTTTTCCGTCTTCCACCCTCCTCCGCATAAATTTGAATAATTTCTCCGAAGGTCCCAGCTTTAGGACTGACGCTTTTGGTCGCCCTGCATCACACTCAACTGCAGTTTCCGTACGTCCAAGTTCGGTCACAACCCCAAACATTCCGAAACCTGTTTTCCAACCTCGAAAGCCCGTCTACTTAGCCACTTTCAATGTTCTCACACTGAAACAAGCAGGTCAACAGGTGGCTCTTGCGCGTACGCTGGATTCCTTCGGTATTGATGTATGTCGTCTGTCAGGAACAAGGACGCAAGTACTGTGGTCGGACTAACTGCACCCTCGTTATCTTCCAGGTTCCGACTGCGCACCTCTGGTGATGCAGAGGCCGCTGCAGCTGGATATGCTGGGGTGGGTATTGTATTGAGCGAATGAGCGGAAGCGTCTTCTCTTGATTGGATACCCGTTGAGTCGCCTCTGTCCGGTTCGTTTGGCAACATCTGAGAGAATCTAGGGGGTGTGAGGTTCACCGCACCTTGTTTATTGTGCCTGCCTACGCCCCAGCTGAATGCAGCTCTGAATCTGCCAAGGACAGTTTCTGTGACGCTCTAGGTGCCCTTCTACAGCAGGCTAAAAGCTCAGATATCGTTGCGGTTGCTGGTGATATGAACGCCCAGATAGGCAGACTAAGCGCTGCTGAGGCCCGATTGGACGGTCGTCTTGGTTTGGACACGTGACGCACGGACAACGGAGACCGTTTACTTCAGATGTGTGCCGATCGCAGACTGTTCCTTTGCAGTACGAATTTCCGGAACAGTGGGAATCCACTGACGTGTTGCCCACCAATAAACCTGACCCGAATCCACATCGCCGTCAGTTATCGGTCGTGAGGGTCGATCACCACCTGCCACTCGTTCTGGAACACCAGCGTGGACTCCGACCATACACTTTTATGCTGCTGCTTTTCGCTGCGCTTTTCAGACGTACGCAAACCGCGCACACCTCGCCTAACCACTGAGAAGCTAGTGGGCCCAGAAGTCAAACAAAATTATCAGAGCCAGCTCCTCGAATGTCTGTCGGACGGCATGGTGTCGGATATAAACAGCCACTGAGGAAGATTTTCCAATACGCTACTCAAAGCCGAAATGTCTGCTTGCGGTACAACCCAGCCAACCTCATCCAAGAATTGGATCTCTAATAGGAACGTGTCTTTGCTGGAGACCCAGCGACACATTCCACCTGGCCGCCACCACAAACCCACCCGGTGCATCATCCGATGCCAGGTAAAAGTGAGTGTCCGCACAGACTGAGAAGCTTGGTGGACCCGAAAGGTCGAAGAAATGGAAGATGCAGAGAATGCTGGAAACGTACGCAAGCTGCTCCACTTGATTCGTTCGACTGATCCTCGGAAACCTCTTGTCAGCGAAATAATCATACGAAAATGGTTTCCTGATATGCAGCAAAGCAGAACATTTGGATCGCTGGGTACAGTACTTTGAACAGCAATTAGGCTGGCCACCTGCTACCTCCAATCCAGAATTCTGGTCTTAAATAGGAAAGTGGACCGTAAATATGGAGCCGCCTCCAGTCTCAGGTGTCCTAATGTCCGACGTTCCATTCCCTCATTCCAAGGAGGGCGGTGGACTCCTCATCCAGTGCCTATCTAGCCTATTTGGGTCTATCTGGGAGGAGACCATCCCAGACAACTGGGATGAATTGATAGTTGTGCCAACTTTCGAAAACGGTACCCGCAGTGAATGTAGTAACCACAGAGATGTTAGTTCGACGCCTGTTGTGACAAGGCTTCTGGCGTCACTGGTTCTTCGTCGTTTTACGGTGGCACCCGAGGCCTTGACTCGTGAGAATCAAGCGGGATTTCGAGCGGGTAGAGGCTGCGTTGACCACATCTTCACACTCCGTCAGGCGTTAGAGCAACGCCACATGTGCAGACGACCCACAACTCTGGTACCCCTTGACTCCAAGGGTGCGTTTGATTCTGTCGATCGGTCAGTGCTGCTAACTAAACTTGCTCCAGAAGTTTGCAAACAAAATCTGATCCCTATATTCACATACTTCTGGGTAGGTGACTGTATAGTGAGCTCTCCAAAAGCTTCCCTACAAAAACTCGTGTCAGACAAGGATGTCCACTCTCTCCATTTTTGTTCAACTTTGCCATTGGTGAAATAATGAGGCGAACACTGGACGGCCTTCAGAACTCCGGTGTTCAAATTGTTGCTGGTGAGAGCCTTGTCGATTTGGGGTACGCAGATGATATCGCCCTCATCTCTGAAGACCAAAGCGAAGCACAAGCCCTGTTGAATAAACTGATCACAATCGACCGCCCCGCCACCAGAAGTGAATTCACACTGGGAAGATGTCGCCACATCCTGTCACAGTGCTGTGAGTTTTGCCTGTGATACAGCGCAACCAGCCTCAATTAAGCACTGGATATCAGACAGAAGAGTGAAACTGCTTAAATCTCGGAGAAATATCTCAGATGGTCCCCAGCATAACTTGACCCGACGAATTATCTATCAGAAGTGAAAATAAGCGTGCAAGCCGATCGGGAAGTCCGATGGACACGGAAAGCCAAGGAGTTGAAAGAGGCCCAAACAGCCTGTAAGTGTCTAAACCGTGCCTGAATCGCGTGACCGGTCCCCGAAAACCTCCTGTGAGCCGAACCATCAAAGATCAGAATTGAGTGACCATGAATATGAACGCCTCGACAGTTGGACAGAATATTCGAACGGCTATCAAGCTGCCGGTGGCCAGTCACTTGGGTCCCACGATAAATTAATCAATTTGCCATCTGTAAAACGCACACCAGAGACACACTGGTTCCAAATGCTACAGTATCGATCACCGGAAAGTGGGAGATTTCTGGAGATAGGGCGAAGCCTTGGAGGTGATGGCATGTTCATTTGTCTCAGGATTTGGGTAGCTACGCATTGAAGGCAATAACTTTTATACAAGAACGCCACTGACTGCGCGATTGGGCCATTTTTGCCAGTGTTACTAAACATCGGTGAGTTGAGTCCCGGGGTCCCCGTCCAGGGAGGCAGCAGTTGCCCACCCGACTAAGTCTACTGTTTAGCTGTCAAGTCACACAGACTCTCCACCTCCCAGTCGCTTCCACTTAGCACAGGGTTGGGCGAAAAGAGCTCTGTGAGGCGGTCGGTCTTCTGATATGCGGAGCACATGTCCTAACCAGCGTATCCTATTCCGAGAGAGTTAATTCTTCCCAAGACCATCTGGTGTACTTCAGCAGTGTCAGTCCGATGTTCCCACCAGACCTGGTCAATGATTCCAAGGCACCGGTGGTCAAACACTGGTAACTTTCGTATGTCCTCTGCGTATAGAAGCCACGTTTCTTATCCACAAAACAGTATGGATCGCACCACCGCAGTGTAAACTCTGCCCCTGACAGAGAAACTCACACCACGTAGACGCCATAGGTGTCGGCAGTTGGCAAAAGCTGCCCTGTATTCCTCAATTCGAGAAGCAATCTCATCTACAGACAGTCCACCGGACCTTATACAGCTGCTCAGGTAAACAAATTTACTACGCCAAAAGGCGCTTTACGGTTCGCAGGCGTATAGCGCATACCAAAACATGCGGCGGAGTTATTTGGGTTATTTGAAATCGTTTGCATTTTTTAAGGATTTGAACCAAGGAAGCGCTATCATCTGCAAACGCCAGGAGAGCGATTTTAGAGCCAGATAGAAATTTCATGCAGCATATCAGTTATAAAGTTTAAGAGGAAATGAGAGAGGGCAGCCGTGTCTTACACCACGGGACGTCATGTACCCAAATGAGAGTATACTCATACAGTATACTCGTACGCGTCCATAGCAGTTCCCATGCAATGCCCTCATAAGGGGTATAAACTTGAAGGGGCTACCTGACCGCCAGACATCGCCAAAGAATCTGACGATCGACACAATCAAAAGCAGCTTTCAGATCAAGAAAAATGACAATGTGAGAAGTCTGACGGTGTGGCGCTGTTCAATAAAGAGATGGTCGATGCATCCTCGATGAGTGCGAAACCAAGCTTGGTTCTCACGAATCTATCTCCCCCGATAATCCGTTAACTTGGGCGAAATAATGACAGAGAGCACCTTAGATGCGACAGACACCAGGCTGATATCACGATGGTTCTTGCGCCCTTTTTGAAGTCCGGGGTTACGGTCGAGGAGCTCCATTCGGCTGGTCGTTCCAAATCTCCTGCAGTATGGTTCCCAGACTGTTCACCGGGACCTCCCCAGCTTCACTGAAGAATGTGGGGTTCAGAGATACAACGTACATCGGTAGAAAACAAGGTTTCAGCAAGAGTTACCTGTTTCCCAAAAGGCTGCAACCTGGATCAGCTATCTGAGACTGGTGAGTAATTATTTTTGTTCATTTTTCTGGAGGGGTGCGAGATGAATAAAGTGGTTAGAGCGCGAATTCACCGACTGGAAGGTCCGTGGTTCGAACCCGACCTCTGCCCCTCGACTTCCCCTGTCTAGGCTTGGACAACCTGGCAGTATCCCAGTCCTCGTGCTTCCTTCGGGTGGCATGGCAGGCACCGACCGAAAGGGCGCTACAGCCGAAAGATTATTATTACTTTTCTGGGTGACGGTTTAGACACGGAACAGTGATCAATAGACTGACTGATGGATTGGTGGCACTGTAATGTTCAACAGGAATGGGCAGTGCAGAGGAAGTCGGCCAGCGAAGTGCTACAAAGGACGGATGATACTCTCCGGTTGACCAAGTCGAAGAAGGGGGTTGGTTGAAGAACCCCACCTTGAACCTTTGACTCAGTAACCTAACCCACAAGTGGGAAGATGTAGGGTTTTGTTCGCGGACGCTGCCATTAGCCACTAATTCAAAAATCTGAACTGCGATACAGCGGTTAAGGCTTTCTTGGGGGACCCTGCAGGGGTCAATGACTCAATAGTCTGATCCACTTAGCAACAGGGGGCCGGCCTGGCCTGGGGTCGCAGGGAGTAAGGCATTACTACCTTATTCCAATACAGCTGCGCACAGCAGATGCCTTCTGGCAGCGCCGGGCCACTAATTCAAAAATCTGAACTGCGATACAGCGGTTAAGGCTTTCTTGGGGGACCCTGCAGGGGTCAATGACTCAATAGTCTGATCCACTTAGCAACAGGGGGCCGGCCTGGCCTGGGGTCGCAGGGAGTAAGGCATTACTACCTTATTCCAATACAGCTGCGCACAGCAGATGCCTTCTGAGCAGCGCCGGGCTCCTTGATTTTGAAATTGAGACCGTACTGAAAAATTCGCGGTCATCTTCAACCGTTGGTCGATCGGTGTGTGCTTTTTAGGGCCGACCTTTTCTAACCCGCCCTTCCTCGGAGGAAGGCAGCATCGCTGCTTCCATAAATACGGGCATGCTGGTCGCCTGGGGAGAAACGCCTTACTGCCTTCGCACTCTTATCGCAGAGGACAATAGGACTTGAACTCTAGACCGCCTCGTAACATGATTACTCGCAGTGACTCGCCATTCTTCGTCAGGCTGCTCCCCGTCGACCTTCATTACATGGCTGAAACTATGAATTGAGTTTTAGCTATTATAGCCCGTAGTATCATTGCAGAACAGAAACCCGACCATCACGACAAGGTGCTAGCTATGGCTCGGGATCTAGAGCCCACATTTGACGCAGAACCCTGAACGGTAAGCATGGATCCCCCTATGGCCTCGGAGTTGTGACTGCGTATGCTCCCTCAGGCGCCACCGACCTTCTTGTTCGGATGACCTCGCATCCGAATTGCTCAAAGATGGAGATGAAATCCTCAGTCAGCGCGTCTAATGTTTTCCTACAGTTGGGAAACGTAAACTATCCCAGACAACTGGAGAGTCATTGATAGTGCCCATTTCCAAACAAAAGTTAGCAGTGAGTGTGGTGAACACAGGGAGATCAGTTTGACCCAGGTTGTAACGAGACTGCTGGCATCACTTGTGCTTCGTCACCTTATGGTGGCTCGTGAAACACTGACTCGAAAGCAGTAAGCAGGGTTTCGTTATAGTATAGGTGGCGTTGACCAAATCTTTACACTCCATCAGGTGCTAGAACAACGCCATATGTACAAACGACCCACAGTTTTAGTACTCCTGAATTCCCAGGGCGCATTCGACTCAGTTGACAGGTCTGCTCTCTTTGATACGTTTGCCCATCAAGGAATGCCCCAGAAGTTTGTGAGCATTATTTGTATGCTCAGAATTCCGGACGTGAGTATAGGAAGAGCTCTCGACGTTTCCGTACACAATGCAGTGTCCGTCACGGGTTCTCACTGTCTCCATTCCTATGTAATTTCGTGATCGATGAGATAATGAGACGAATACTGGAAATTCTTCAAGATTCTGGAGTTCAAATAGCCTCAGACGAACTTGTCTATCTGGAATATGTGGACGACATCGTTCGTCTTCGAAGAGAAAGCGTAATCGTTTTTTCGATAAACTGACCCCGTTCACAAAGTGTAAGGTCATGTTAATTGGTATTCACTCAATGAACAATTCACTTGGAACCCAGAGAGACATTCAAATTTGGGGAGCGTTTTACGCACCTTGGACGTTGTATTAGTTCTTATTGTAGTGTGATAGATGCCCGACCTAAAGCTGCGACCACCTGGTGGT